GATCACTATGAGTCTGATCTATGAGTGAGACCCTCAACACGCTGTAGACCCTTCCCTAAAAAAAATACAAAATAAAACAAAACAAAAAATGCATGATACAGATTCAAAAGATAGACAAGAAATTTAAAATTTCATTGACAGTTGGCAACATTGCTTGCACAAAGCTGAAAATAGACTTTCACACTTTGAAGAAAGTATTGCAGCTATTGATCATGAAAGAAAATATCTACAAAAAAAGGAAAGAACCAAGAAATAAATATTCAACAATTTCAATATGATTCAAAAAAAATATAAGACTGATAGATATGAACGAAAAAGCAGGAGTGAACATGAATGACATAAAAAGAATATTTGCATAAATAATAGCAGAGAAAATTTCCCAAGCTTGGGAAAAGAATCTGACAGAAAGCAATAAATCTATACCCAAAAATACAAAAATGAATATCCCACAAATTCAGCAAAAGAACAGACTATGAAAACTGTTAGAGAAAATAAGCAGTTCACCTATGAAGGAAAGTTGGTCAGAATCATGACAGATTTTTCAACACAAACCATTAAGTCAAGAATGGCTTGAAGTAAAGTATTTCAGGTCCTGAAAGAAAACAACTTCCAACGCAGGTTGCTGTGCCCTGAAAAACTATCTTTCAAAATTAATGGAAAAATAAGATACTTCCATGACAAAGGACAACTGAAGAAATTCATGATCACCAAACCAACCATAAAAAGAGTACTGAAAGATATTCCAGAAAAACATAAAAATTACCACAATTCCAAGAAAAACAATACAAAGGATCCACCAAGCAGAGCAAGCAACTAAACCTAGGGGAAAAGCAGTGAACCAACAGCAGGAAAATATGACAAAGATAATCCAGTACATATCAGTAATTACTAATGTAAGCGGCCTCAATTCACCAATCAAAAGAAAAAGATTGGCAGAATGGATCAAGAAACAAAATCCAACAGTATGCTGTATACAAGAACTACACTTAACTCAAAGGAAAATTCATTTATTGGAAGTCAAAGGATGTAAAGCAATACTCCAAGCAACAGAAACTCAGAAAAAAAAAAAGCAGGAGTAGCTATTCTGCTGATAGAGGAAATGAACTTCAAACCAAAAGTGATCAAAAGAGATACTGTCACTACATACTTGTTAGAGGAAAACTTCAAGAAGAAGTGATAACAATTATAAATATGTTTGAACCAAATATAGAAGCATACAACTATATAAGACAAATATTAATAGAGGTGAAAAACCAAATAAGCAATAGCATAATTGTAACAGGGGACTTTAACACTGCATTGTCACAGAGATTAATTAGCAAAAAAAAATCAGCAAAGAAATAACAGAACTAAACCAAACTTGTGAACAAATGGACTTAGTAGACCTTTACGGAATATTTAACCCAACATTAGAATACAGATTCTTCTCAGCTGCACGTAGGATAGTCTCTAGAACAGATCACATACTAACTCATACAACATGCTTAAGTAAAGGCAAAAAAATTTGAAATTATCACATGCATATTATTAGACAATTATGTAATGAATTGAAAATTAATAACAAATGAAATTGAAAATTAATGGCAAAGGAAATTGCAAAAATTCCATAAACGCATGGAAATTAACACCCTCCTAAACAACCAATGGGTCAT